ATTAGCCGTACCCAAACTATTTAAGAAAACCATGAATTAGGACTTTAAATCTTGATGTTGCCTTTAATCATGATTTTTAATTAACATAATGAATTTATGGCTATTTTTATTTGCCTTTTTGTTTCTGCACTTCTAAAGCATGCCTGCATCCCATTTTCAAAGTTTTCCCATAATTTAATTTAAAAAAAGAGAAAACTGTGAATGAATGAACAAAGAAAAATACAAGACTCTTTATAAAAATTACAAAACTTGCCAACTCAGACAGACACTATCCCTTCATTTCTCTCTCTTTTTTACAGAAACAATTAAAAAAAGCCTGGTACTTTTATACAAGAGCACTGCATTACAAACTCATGTGTATTAGTTTTCCGTATAGCCATGATACCATGTAAGAGGGCTTCGCCGGCTCCCGGGAAGTGCTCCACTCCCCAGCCCTAACACCACAGGCCTCCTCACTCCCTAAGGTGATGCAGGGGAGCAGAGCAGTTACCTGGAGCTGGCGGAGCCCATGCCAGGCCCCTGCCCCTGCCTTGGGGAGGAGCTTACCTTCAGTAAGTGTCCCATGCCGCAGCCCAGCTCCTCTCCTGGTGCGTAACCTTGAAAAGTCGGTGTGCGGCCAGACTTTTACTTGTGCGCACCTTAGAGGGAACCTTGGCTGGAGCCCAAGTCACAGTGACCACTTGCTCTCCCCCACCCCCACCCTCGTACTTGATTCTAAGACAAGTGACTCCCCCCAAAGTTAAACAGGGAAAAAAAACCCTTTTCTTACAAATCGAGTAAATACAGTATATTACATTTTCTGCATTCCAAGTATATCTGTGCGATCCTTATGGATAACATATAAAAAAGTTTTTCCTACTGAGTGCATTTTGTGTTTGGGGTGATCCCAAGTCTTAAGTGGATCCAAAGAAACATAAGATGACTTAAACTCCCAAAATACAGGCAGCGGATGAAGGAAAAAGCACTAGCCAAGGAGTCATCAAAAGTGAATTACAATACAGACAAGACACAGCCAACTTCTTACCAAGTCACCAAATTCTACAAGCAGTCTACTCTGGCTACTCACATACAACAGAAGGAAAAGTCTCTTTTACTTACATTTTTCAAAGTCTGGAATCTGAGGCCTAATTCCCCTTTTATCATATTCTTGCTTGACTCCACTGCAATTCTAATAACTTCAATGAAGTTAACTCCTCTGCAAGTGAACAGTTTTTTCATGTCTTGCTATACACTCGCTACTGGACTACTACCATTCCAACTAACAGAAATGTATGCCTTTAATTGATTTATGTTCCTTGCATTCCTCTTGTCCAGTTCCCTGAGCTTCAATGAGAAGAGCACCAATTGGCCTGACTGCTGTCTTTTTTTAAATTGTTGTTCTATGCCGTTGGGTGCTGATTCCAATACAGTTTTACTGAAATCATTTAAGTGCCATGAGGACTCAGAGGCTCACCTCCAGGGACCTGATTACAAGCAAGGGGCATAAGAGTGGGATACAGTCTAAAATCAGTACCCATTTCCTCTCAGCTGTTGAGGAGAGAGGTACATCTCAAAGGACAAAAATGAGACCTTCCAGAGATATTTCTATGTTACTCCATAAATCCATGGAAGGTGGGACCTGATAGTTCAAATATAAGAATAAACAATAATCTATTTGAGACAAAATAAAGAAAGAGCTAAGGGCAAGAATAAATAGAGAAACATATTACTGCTGTTCATTTCACAAAGTCAAGTAGAAATTAAGTGAGAAGATAACTTTGGAATTTGACAATGAAGCTAACGTATATATCTTCTTAAATTAGCAACTGCTTTGTTACTGGGTGTTGGGGGGGTGTGCATTTGCACATTCACTTATTCACACACTTATAATGAGCTTGTGCAAAGAAGATTTGGACCTTAAACAGCACTCATAACCTTCAGAGACATGGTACCCAATGAACATGAACGGCATATTGTTGCCTCTTTCCTGCATATGTTTTTTTAACACACAGTTTAAATCCCAATATCAAAATTTAAGGGAAGATACAGGAAAACATAAACGATAAACTTTGCCTGTGTATTTAGAAGCTGTTTTCTTTGATTTGCACACAGGTTCTTCAATGCAAGAGAGTAAATATGCAAACTGCCTTCCTCTCCCAATTAACTATGAACTGACTTTTTATACCTATTTTTCTCTATTTGGATAGTGCACTTTTCTCTGCAGATGTGGTACAGCAGATATTGCACCTCAGACAGATATTGTGCAGATATAGTGGCTAGTCTGAGGAAATGCATTTCTTCTTCTTTAAGAGAAATAAAACTATTCTTTATAGAGATAAACCTGGAATGGATCTCTTTGGCTCAAAATGTATCATGTGTAGTATCTGCTGGTCTATAATCATGTGTCTAAAGTAGCACTCTAATCTAAGAAATGATTGAAATATTATACCAATGTTGCCAAAAAAATATTGGCTCAGTAATCAAGGTTATTCCTAAACAGTAAAGAAACCACTGCTTTCTTCCGATTTCTGATCCTTTAGGACATGTTTCACATATTTTAGTTTTACTCTGCAAATATGAGGAAACATAATTTCATAAAAATTAAAATGGGAAGATGTATTGAATCCCTTTTTCCCAATAGCTAAAGCCTTAAGAAAAGAACCAAATATGTAAAAACTTCTGATAAAATCATGAGCATTAGTAACACTATCCTATTCCTGCTCTTGCTCTAGGATGCCCTAGGTGAAATGCAAGATATTTAAGAAAGATGGGAGAAGATAACCAATCATGAAAATAGGAAGCACCCTTAATTTAACATATCAATACTGTTTCTTAAAGTGTAAATTCAGTACATACAGAGTGGAAAAACAAAGAAAAATGTTAACAGTTAAATTAAAAAACTTTAAGTAGTAAATACGTAGAATATTGTAGTGTGCTTTAGTTCTAATTGATATCCACTATTGTGGAACTACTGTAAATATTACTTCCTTGGTTTCAGATGACTATGATCCTCATTTGATTACAGCCCTTCAGTATTTAATGAGCATGGGAATCTATTATCTGCCTAAAGGAAAAACTGTGCTGGGCTGCACTTTATTGAAACCTGCAATGTACAAACAGAAATCAGAAATGCAAACACAGCTGCTGCAGCAAAGCTTACAGGATGAAAACAAGAAAGAAAAAAAGAAAAAGATGAATTCAGAAGTATGTAAAATATTCCAACTCCTGAGATAATTCAAATATCCTCCAAAAATATTTTGATCTACTTTGTCTTTAATTGGGAAATATCTTCTCTTTTATTTAAAGAAACTCCATATCTTGTTCATTTTGACTGCATATACAGCAGCAATAAAGGTCAACAAAATATACTCAACTCCAGATTTCTTCTGTAAATGGAAAGTGACATCGATTAAAACATAACCCTTCCCGCAACACTTGATGCTGCAGATACTTTTAGGGGTTGTTGTTGCAGAGAAGCATAAATGCAAACCAAACAATTCATAATCTGTCCTAATATTTGTTATTAATTATAAAATATTTAATATAGTATGAAAAAAGAGACTCACTTAGCCAATAGAGAAGACAAATGAGCATAAAATATATTTTCAGGACATTAGGGCAAGTCTTATTTACCATATCAGCCTCATACAAGGACATATTGATGAGATTTATGAAAGAAAGGCCTGCATAGGATACAAAAAATGATGCAACAATTTAAGAGAATTAAGGACACAGCGTTATTTATATCCCTTTAACGATTCTCTGGAAGCCAACAGCTGGCATACACATTGCTATAATATATTAGGTTAGGAATAGTTTGACTGTAGGCACAAGTGGAATGGTGAAAAAGGTCCATTTTGTCAGCGGCCACACACTTTTTTAGTATGCAACCAGCTTTTCCACAACTAACTTTCTCTCTTTCCCTGCTATAATTATATTTTGATTGAGATTTATTGATTTATTTGATTGATTATCTAGTTCTAATTAAGTACACCTGTAGCATTTTAGTTGTTTTTTGTTGATGAAGAGAGAAGAAACAGGATATGGAAAGGGATATGTAATATCAGTTGAAGGTCCCAACCAACTCCTATATATAACAACAAAGGAAGTAAATGGAAGATGGATGCAATTTTTCTTAGGTTTCCCTTAGAACACTGGTACAAACCAGTTATTGAAATAATATGCAGATGAGCAAAAATAAAAGACAGTGTTAAAGTTGACTGTTACATTAACTGCAAGAATACAGCGGTGTCGTTCTTGTATATTCATTTCTAAACAATAATAAAAACATTAAATGAAAATATAACTCTTTGTTAATATCTGATCTATATACCAACTAGTTTGAGGTAAAGACATATATGGCCCTGTAGATGAATTTGCTTGAAAATAAGTCTTTTGTGAATAAAGGGAGGCAAAAAATAAAGAAGAAAAAGGGGGGAAAAAAGCTTTTCTATAATGTTAACCTGTGAAGAATGGCATTTTATAGTCTAACATTATCATTTTTTTTAAATGCAGAAATAGAATTCCTTACCGTCTGTAGTCTGACTGATGGTGTTCGGCTAAGAGGATTTCCTACTGGGCTGAAACTCCCTGTGAAAAGACAAGGCTGTGAATTTTTGCTTGTTATCCATTTCCATCTAATACACCATTTTATTTTAAAAAACATTATGTTAGCAGGATATGGTTCATAAAACTCTAATGAAAAGCAGCAGCATCTTTCAGTTGCAACTACATGTCCTTCAGTTAGGAACAGTTGGAGGGTTTATCTAACCAACAGACATGACACAAGGTTAGCTAATCCAATATTTCCATTCAAATGATTCAGAGAAATAGCACAAGCAATGTCCACATGCCACCTCGTGCTCAGAACTGACACTATTATCTCAGCTACATTGCCTTTCTTTTCATTGAATTGCTGAGTAGAGCATACAAAGTTTTCTGTCAGAAATGATCACAAAACCTCTCAAAGGAATTACTTCCTTACTTTATCTAAAAGAATAACTGTCTATTTTGTAGCTTACTTTGATCATCTGAGTTTCTACCAAAACACATCTTGCTGTTTATTTTATTCACTCTCTACCTAGTGCATTTGAAAAAGTACTTGTAAATTCCTTCCTTTAGAAATTATTATATTGACTACTAAGCTCAAGAAAATCCTTTCATCATCTATGGATTTATCTTTTTGTTATTGGTTTCTTCTACTTTATATCTAAGTAAAGAAAACATGCTTAAAAGATAGAGACATTTGAAAATTGTTAAACATGACAATATTAAATGTTATCACTTTACTCTACACATTTGACCTTTTTCTTTATAAGTAGATGGTGCAAAGGGAAGTCAGGCTCCATAAACTTAAGCTGACAAGCTTTTCTGAATGACAGACCAGAGTTCAAAACCTAGTTTAGGATTTCAAATAAAAGTGACTTCTGAGATTTCACTGTAGTCTCCTATCAAAAAAACCCTCAACTTAGCACAACTAGCAAAACATCTACTCATAAGGTGTCTAGAATTTGGGAAAAAATGGAATTTTTCATGTTAAGATTCAGGTGCACTGGCAAAGAACCATGGGAAAGCTTGTACAACCTTTACCTGCACTATTCTTGTCTTAAGCCAGTGGCATTAAATATATTCAGAAGGGATTTACTCATATATGTTTAAACACAGGACGATATTTATAAATGTAATTAAGTGGTTGAAGCTCAACGAATTAAAACTAGTAAAGTCCTAATCCTGTATGGGTGAAGTTCCAAAAGGGGTTGTGCAATAATTTGGTGGCCAAACTGAAAAAAATCAAACTGTCTTTATTTTGGGTACTTTTTTAAAGGTGATAAAAATATATACCTAAATTTGGACATGGAAAGTTGAAAGGTTAGATTTGTAAAATACCACAGAAAACCTTTCCAGCTTTTCATCGTTTTGCTTCCCAAAACTATTTGCAGAATTTAACTTGTATATTCAATGAAAGTTGCTAGATTATACATACTCTGCATTTTTGATAAATAAACTACCTGCGAAAAAAATTGATCAGTGTTAGTCCCAAAATCAACAGGCTTTCTATACATGTGAAAGTTACTCACATACGGATTTGCAGAATCAGTATATTACTAATTACATTTTATGCTATTACGAAGAACGTAGCTTTATCCAGGTAAATGTCAGTTTCCTTTAAGAAAAAAATAACCTTGTCCCCCAAATCAAGGTTACCATCAATGTTTTCAAGAATTTTTTAAAAATCTGATTCAAACTTTTTTTCTTTAAATAATTAAAAATTGTACTGAAGAATCAAATGTGCTAGGTCATGTAAATCTGATGGGCAAATGAACTAGAAACAATTGAAATTGATTAGCCTATTTTCCTTTTTCAAGATGAGAGACATGGCAAATTATTAACATGTGTAAGGACAAGGCTTACACCCAATGGAAAGAAGGGGTCATCACCAAGGAGGGCTATTCTGCAGTTGCTCGGGGATGTAGGGGGGTAGTTAGGAAGGCCAAGGCAGAGATGGAACTGGGACTAGCTTCCCAGATTAAGGACAATAAGAAGTCTTTTTTTAAATACATAGGGGGTAAAAAGAAGGTCCC